GAATTCCTCTGAGGATTAGAATTATTCTGGAGTATGTGTCGTTCCCCGCAGGTGAGACACTCAGAAGTGAAATTCTACATTTGGGCATTTTCATGGTTTCACATTTTACGAATTATCTTTACAAAAAAAATTAAGATTGCCTTTGATTTTGGTCTTACTTGATATTATGTGTATTTTCTTCATGTGATTCATATTGATTTTTCAGTCTTATTAGATCCAATGCTGTCTTTCTTTTAACAATGTTTGTATTGTACCTTTTGTTGACTTGAAATGAAAATTATTGTTATTATTACCTATCTGCATAATTTCAAAAAATCATTAAAATACCTAATTATAAAGGAGAAGTAGAAGGAAAGCACTTTATAATAAAGTGTATGTTTCAGTATGTAAATCCTCCAGCAGACCACCCTAGATGACACAAGAGATTGTCAAATGCTTGCACCTGTATATAGAATCAGTGTGAAAATAAGCTGGGAAAGCTGGTTGATTTGGTGTTTTATGTTGGTGATTTAGATAACCAAGTGGCATCAACATTGGTGACACGATTTTCGAAAATGATGAACAACTCCTAGTAAAATTCTGAACAAAACAAATAGATTTATAGTATGATTGCAATCTGGGATATTTGGGATACATTAATGCCTGGAAAAATACATTTGTTTACATTATTAGTTAAGTTCCAGCCCTAGATATATTTGGCCTTTGAAAGTCACCCAGAACATGTGACAATTCTTTGCCATACTGGAATGTCCCCTGAATTGCCGGGTCTCTAATATTCCAGACACATGCCCATTAAATGCTAGTAGCTTCTCCCAGCTCCTCCCCTCATCAGCCCCCAAAATGCCTCCATATATATCCAAAGGGCCCTCTAGGGGGCAGTGCTGCTACCATTTTGAGAACTGATTTAAAAGGATCTAGCTGTTTATCTGCTACATAGCTATGTTGCTCATGGAACTTTAAAACCACAGTAACTTAAGTATCCTGAGTGTTTAAAAATGATATGTTTTGAATAATTAGGACAATTACAGAATTGTGGTAGAAGTTGATTTGTTTAAGTGCATCATGGTTTTGTTGTAATTCATGTAATCAGATCAATAAGTTTGCTAGTGGGATCCCTGGGTGGCGCAGCGGTTTGGCGCCTGCCTTTGGCCCAGGGCACGATCCTGGAGACCCGGGATCGAATCCCACGTCGGGCTCCCGGTGCATGGAGCCTGCTTCTCCCTCTGCCTGTATCTCTCTCTCTCTCTCTCTCTCTCTCTCTCTGTCTCTGTGTGACTATCATAAATAAATAAAAATTAAAAAAAAATAAGTTTGCTAGTTTAAGTACCCAATACCTGGCATCTTCTTCCTTTTTTTTTTTTTTTTTTAAGATTTTATTTATTCATAAGAGACACAGAGGGGCAGAAACATAGGCAGAGGGAAAAGCAGGCTCCCTGTGGAGAGCCCAGTGGGGCACTTGATCCCAGGACCCCAGAATCATGCCCTGAGCCGAAGGCGGATGCTCAATCACTGAGCCACCCAGGCATCCCTACCATGCATTTTCTTTATTTTTTCCACTCTTCCTGTTCAGTAAGTCAGTAGTATATAACTTTAATGTCAGCATTTACTTAGTTGATAGTCATACAATGTAATTTGTCCCTTAAACCACTTTTAAAATTAGGAATGATTTAGTAACATTATAGAAACCTTGTAAAATAGAGCAAAATTTGCCATAATTTTGTCACTCTAACAATCGTTAATGTTTTCTGCTATTTTGTTCTTGGTGTATAGCTTGCCATTCAAAAATTAGTTTTGTATCTTTTTTACTTAATGTGGTATAACTTTTTAATGTTACATAACTTCCAACTATTATTTTAAATCCCTGTATTTTTCTATTAGATTCCACAATTTATTTTCCTTCCTCTTAATTGGTTGTTCACATGATAAAAGTGAATATATAGGGATGCCTGGGTGGCTCAGCCATTGAGCGTCTGCCTTCAGTTCAGGATGTGATCCTAGAGTCCCAGGATCAGGTTCGGGAATGGGCTTCCTGCATGGAGCCTGCTTCTCCCTCTGCCTATGTCTCTGCCTCTCTCTCTCTCTCTCTCTCTCTCTCTCTCTCTCTCTCTCTCTGTGTGTGTGTCTCTCATGAATAAATAAATACAATCTTAAAAAAAAAGGGGGAAGGACAGTATGTCACATTTTTTAAAAAAGTAAATATATGTAGGTTTGTGTATGTATACATGTATACATATACTGATAAATCTACTTCAATATATTTTAATATTTTCTTTAGGATGTCAGATCATCTATTGGGTCATGAGATTTGAGCGTTTTTGTAACTTATACATTGCCAAATTGACATAAAAAAAAAAAAAAACTGTTCCAAAAAAACCCCCAGCGGATCCATTTATAGTGCTATCAACATATGTAAGATGTCAATATGTAGAAGTATCAGTCTCAACTCATGCTTCTTAAAATTTAACTTTTAAATTATTTACATTTACATTTCTTATTTATTCTCAGTGACATTGAACATTTTTATGTTTGTGAATTATTTCTGTTTTCTCTTTTGGAAAATATATGGTTATGCTCTTTGCTGATTTGTTGGGTTCATGGTGTTTATTTTCTCTTTTCATTTTGAGTCAGGCCTTTTACGTAATTAAAATTATTAATGTTTCTTACATTCATTTTTGTGGCAAACATTCCTTTGTTGTCTTTGATTTTATTTTTGTTTTTTAATACATTGAAGTTTCATTTGCTACCCATAGAAGATAGTATGTGATATCAAAGAAAGGGATGTGGAGTCAAGAAATCAGGATTTTGGAAGGAGATACTTACAATACATTACATGTCATCTGACTCATATCCAGAACGTATGTTACATACTCCTATCCTGAATATATGAATAAGAAAGAACTCATATCTAGAATGTATGTTATGAATGCTTACAAATCATTAAGAAAAAGGCAGACAACCAGTTTCCAAAAATGAGGAAAAACCCTAAACCACTACTTCATAAAAGATACCCAGATGTCTAAACCATCTGGCAGTATGTATGCTGAATGAATGCAAGATGACTTTATATTACCTGTGTAAGAAATATTTCGAAGGGCATATTTTGGGTGAAGATTTATTTCATTGTAAAGCCACATTTATATTAAATTTTGGTCATCCAAGTGTAGTCACTGAGTTTTTTCCTAGTGTGGCCAGTTTAGATTTTATGTACTTTTCTGGAAGTGAGGTCCATTTCTTTTTGCCTTATCCTGCCTTTCATAGGAAATGATTGCAGATTCTTTGCCTTTTGAGTATGATATAAATTTTTACTATCCAGCTGGTACCTATTTCCTAGGAAAAAAAATCCTTCATTAGAGATCAGTAATCTCTTTAGATCTTAATGTCTTTAGCAAGATTATGGAGTATCTTAGGTTCCAGTGACTCAGTCAACTGACAGAATGGGAGAAAAATAGGGTGAAAGTGTGTCACATACAAAAAGCTTGTAAAAAACCCTACCTAAAACCCATAAATTCATGTGGTTGTTTTTCTTCTTCACCATGAGATATATTAGGAATTGTTTTTACCCTTATAAATGCAATAATTATAAGAAGTTCTTTTCCTGCCTTGTGACAAATGGCTGTTTGGGACATACTCATCTCATTTAATTATTGTGCAAGTCTCCCAGCATTAGCATCTGTTACTGGTTACTCTGTCTTTTTGGTTGTTCCCATGTTGTAGAATCTACTAAAAAATATAGTGATGTAAACATAAATCTGTTCTTTCAAGGGATGTCTTTTTTTTTTTAAGTCAACCCTTTTACATTCCCTAACATCTCTTCTAATTATGTAATACAGTCTATTCTGGCATAAATAACCTAGGTGCTAACTCCCTTCTCACATATATACATACTCCTCTCCCCTCTTTCTTAAATAATACGTGTTGATACAAGATTGGAATACACTAATCAACATGACATCTCCCTTCTTATAACTTCTTTCCCCTTGACTACTTACCCAACTCTCAAAGGATATTCACTTTTTGAGGCAAATTCATACTGCAGGCACATTTTTTCTTGTGTAAATCTCAGAGGTTCAGTATCTTCCCTTCCTCACAGGCCTCAAATTCTACCTGTTTGCCTTTGCTCAAGGTACTATACAGCATCATCGATAGTCTTCTAGCTGAATAGTCCTTCTGATTTTGGGACCTTTCTTCTCAGAACCATCGTCCCTTGATTTTGAGCATCTCTGATATGTTCAAATCTTTCTTCCCCTGTGTTGTCTTGTCATGATCTTTCCTTAACACGTATGTCAGTATTTCTTATTCAAGAAGACACCACTCCCCGTGCTGCATGCCCTCAAATACACACTCACACACCCTGACCTGTGACATTAGTCTTTTCAAGTATCTTGAATGCAAGATACAAACTTATACTTACTTTCTAGCTTCTCAATGAGACTCATAGCGTATTGATAATGTTAGATTCTCTTTTCGGTATTTTCATTGAATGTGAATTGTGTGTCCTTTTCTGGAAGAACTTGAATGTATATTGACTGTGCAACGATTGAAAATACTTTTAAATTCTGAACATATTTTCTACTTTACCATTATAAAAAACAGTTCTGATATATTTATTGTAACTTGCACCAGTTACAGAGGACAGTAACTTGTACCTTATTTCTGTTTACTTTTATGAAAAACTTTATTATTGTGCTTCTCCAGTGAAAACAGTTTCTTGCCAGTTTTAAATATTAGGAAGGCCTTCTTTGCTGCTTACCTCATTATCTTTACCAGCTATATTTGGAGAATTCAAACTAATTTTATTATCCTAGGTAAAAACTTGATGAGAAAGGAAAATGTGTTCAAATTCAAATATAAATTACTGTTGTGACCTGTAGTTTCAGATTAACCATATCACAGACTTTTAGAGGGATAATTGAGAATTGGTATTAATAAAGATACAAGGGAAAAAAGTCACGTAATTGTATATAAGTAGAGATGCTTAAATTCATCTTTGTTTTGTTTAGATGTCCCTGGTAGATTTGGGAAAGAAGCTTTTAGAAGCAGCACGAGCAGGTCAAGATGATGAAGTTCGTATTTTGATGGCAAATGGAGCTCCTTTTACTACAGACTGGGTAAAGAATGATTTTAATGTGCTGGTTTTTATTTTCTTCTCATTTATTAGCTTTTCCAGATAAAAATTTAGTATCATGTTTATATATGGCAGAAAATTAATTTTCTTTGTGCAAATTTGTAGTTTTGGAATTATAGCTATCATTTAAGGGAGTGGTTTGTATCCTTATATATGTCATATGTGTGTATGACAACCTTACTCAAAGCTTCTGTCCACAAAAGGTTTTTTCTTTTAAACTTGGAGTTCAGTATTGTAGGATGAATATAAAATGTAGCTGCTTGAAATTTAATTTAAAGGTTTAAATAACACAAGTAGAATTTATAATTCAGAAAATAACAGATAAAGATCGTGGTTAATGTTATAATCGTTTCTAAAAAGGAAAAATGTTTGCGTTTCAATTGATACTGGCAACACTATTGCAAACATAACCAAAGATGAAGAAAGCAATGGGAACATGTCCTAGTAACTACAGAAGGCAGTTGTGAGGACAGCAAAAACCGTAACTGTACTAGTTCTCGGGGTAAGTCAAAAGAGGTGGTTTTGGCAGTATATAGAGGATTAGGAATCTGGATTAACCTGCCTACTGGTAACAACTAAAAATTGTAGATTTTAGCTTTTACTGTTTTTGACATACTTGTCCTGTGTTTTTATTTTTCATTAAAAACAAAACAAAACAATTTTTTTTTTTAGAAGATTTTCTTTACTTATTCATGAGAGACACACACACAGAGAGGCAGAGACATAGGCAGAGGGAGAAGCAGGCTCCATGCAAGAAGCCCGATGCAGGACCTGATCCCAGAACTCCGGGATCCTGCCCTGAGCCAAAGGCAAGATGCTCAACTGCTGAGCCACCCAGGCATCCCAAAAAACAAAATGTTTTATTATGGAAAATTTCAAACATGTATCACCCCCTTCAGCCAGCTTCAAAAATTATCAAATCATTGAGAATCTGTTTCATCTGTAACTTCATCCACTTTGTTCTGTATTATTTTAAAGCAAATTCTATGAACTATTTCATTTTATCCATAAATATTTCAGCATCTGTCTTTAAAGGTAAAGACTTTTTGATTAACTATTTAAAAAAATCTTTAGTGCACTGATGAGTTAGCAAGAAAATAAGGGACTTTTAACCTGAAACACTAAGTGAACACCAGAACCTAAAGAAGTTTTACAAAAAAAAAAAGAAAAGAAAAGAAATTTTACCCTAAGAATATTTGCTGAACTTGGTGAATTTTCCTGTTGGTTTTCCTATCTCATGGGCATGGGTTACTGAAGACAGAGACCTGAGACGTTCATAGTAGTCTCCTAGGAGATCCTCTCCTCTTAATTCAGGAATCCCAAAGACATGTACCTTCTATATAAGGTAAACCAGAAGTACCACCTCCCTCTTCCTACCTGCTTCTGCCTGTCCCTGTTGTTAGGGTACTGCAAGGAAAATGAACTGACTTGTATTGTAGTAAGTCACCAAATGGAAAAAGAGAAAAAATTATTGATGAGGATTTGTAGTCAAAAGCCATCCTTTGTATACTTTTGTGATCCGAACTTATAAATACTTGAGCATTCTGCAAAAATGTACACTAAAAGATGAATTTAAAGTGATCTTTGGATTGAGGTTACCATAGGTTCCTAGTAGAAACAAATGAATATTTTTTCTGGGGGAACCTACCTTCATCCCATTATCTACAAATGAAATCCCAAGGAAAGAACAGTCCACAGTAACTAAATGCACAAGGATACAAGGCAACTTAGACAATAACCCACTGAAGCAACTAAGAACAGAAGCAGACTGACAAGGATTTTAGGTAAGATTTTAAGCAGATTAGGAATAGCTAAGGAGAAAATGAGTGAATTGAAAGATATGTTAAAAAATCCAGAATGCATTATAGAGAAAAATGGGTAGAAAATTTGAGATCTTAGGAGTCATGAATGCTACTGTGAGAAAATGTAATGTATCTAATAAAAAATCCACAAGAAGTGTGAAAATAGGGAAATAATTTTAAGATATAATGGCTGGGATTTTTTCCATCTCAGATTCAAGTAGCCCAACTAATCTCCAAGAGGATCAATTAAAGAATCCATGTCTAGATGCATCATAGTGGTACTGTGGTATATCAAGACAAAAGGATCTTAAGGATTAGTATCCATAGTACATAAGGACTTCCCATGACAGCAATAAAAAGACAAAGACTGGGCAAATGACTTGATATGGTACTTTACCAGAAAGAAAGTTCAAATGACCAATAAATGTGAAAAGATGCTCAACTACAATAGTAATTGGGCAAATACAAAGTGAAATCGTGAAATACTATTGCTTATCTACCAGATTAACCAAAAAAAGTCTGGCAATATCAAACATTGGAGAGGATAAGTATAAATTGGTATAAACGTTTTGGAGGACAGTTTGGCAGTACCTACTAAATTTGAACATATGCATAACCCGTGATGTAGCCTTTGAACTTATAAGGATATTCCCTCTTCCCCCCCAAAAAAGAATATTCCCCAAAGAAACTCTTGCTCATATACTTGAGAAATGCACAAGATTGTATTTATTGATAGCATTATTTGTAATAACGAAAAACTGGAAACTACCTAAATATTCATCTGTAGATTAGTTAAATTAATTATGTTTCATTTATTCAATATAATTTTATAGAACAGAGAAAATTAGTGTAGTGAACTAGACTTACATTCACTAACATGGGTAAATCGTGTGAGTATAAGCAAAAGAAGGCAAGTCACAGAGAAATACATGCAATATGATTATTTACATAAAGTTGAAAACCGGTAAAACCCAAGTGTATTATTTAAGGATATATAAGTGGTAAAAAGCAAAACCAAAGCAAAGTAAAGCAATTTTTATTACCAAATTCAGGACAGTAATTGCCTCAGGGGCTGAGAGAGGGGTTTATGACTAGGGAGTGGCGTGTGAGAAGACTTTAAATTGCTGGTAGTGTTTTATTTCTAGACCATGATTGTGGTTTCATGAGTGTTTGCCTAATTTTTTTTCTTTAAACTATGTGTGTATGTGTTTTGTGTCATCAACCAAAATGGTTAGATCTCAAGAAGAAAAAACACAAGTAAACCCTATATCTCACTAAGCAGAACTCATGGTTGCCCAGTGGGCTGTTGAGAGACTTCATTCAAAATTAGAATTTTAAGAGTATGAATTTTAAGAGTATAGAAAGAGCTATTATAGGAAAATATGATATTGCATGGAGAAATGGTTGTTCATGAATTTTCTTTGATCTGCTCGAATGATCTTCCCTTAAAAACATAAGACTTTTAATAGTAACAAAATAATTATTTCCAGGGTAAATGATTTCCATTTTTACCATGTGTTGAGAACACAATAGCTTTGTATTACGACTCTTACTCAAGTGTGACTTCAGGCCAATTAGTAACCTCTGAGTGCCTTAGGTTCTTTTGCTACCAAATGAGGATAGTAACAGTACCTTAAGAGGAGAGTAAATGAGAAAATATGTGTAAAGGTCTTAGAATAGTGCTTGCCATAGAAAGTGCTTTAACAAAAACCTTAGTTGCCATTATTATAGTAGTCTTAGCAAATTTCATGTTCTAGTGAACTTTTTTTTTTTTTTTAAAGATTCTGTTTATTTATTTTAGAGAGCACGCGTGCTGTGTGAGCAGCGGGAGGGTGGGGAAAGGGAGAGGGAAGAATTTTCAGCAGACTCTGCTCTGAGCATGGAGCCTGACATTGGGCTCATGACACCAAGGTGTCATGCATGACCTGAGCCGAAACCAAGATTTGGACGCTTAACTGCTTAACTGACTGCACCACCCAGGCTCCCCATCTAGTGAACTATCTTGGTTCTTTGGAACACCAGTGCCTTGGTAATCAGAGTTACAGTGACTTTCAAGGCTTCTAAATGGGTAACTTAATTCTAATTTTCACCTGTTAAAATGTATGCTTACCTTATTGGAAGGTTCTTCTTTACTTCTATTTTAGAACTTCCCCTGCATATTGTGAATGTACTGTTATTGTAGTGGCTATACCACATGAAACCAATTTCAGGAGAACTGGGCTCTTTTGGTTCTGTCCTGACTCATCTTTGGCAAGCATACCTCAGATCAGATTTTTCCCTTAAAAAATGACTATATAAACTTATTTAAAAAGATCACTGAGTTGCTTTAATTAATTTATTTTTTAAGTCCTACAAAACAGTTTAATATAAAAATCTACTATTAACGTTTATTTGATATGGATTTCATAGATGAAAAGTTTTGTGTGAATCATATGAGGAAAACATTCTAGTACTCAGAAAAATTTCTCAAACCCTAATTATCTCTAATTCCTGATGAAATTAATTTTGTTCAGGCTATTTCTCTGTTAAAAAATAAAATGAAATTGAATTAAATGAAATATTGACTTTGCTTTCTCATTGAGAAGTGTAGGGGAAACCTGAAAGCCTCTGTGAAGCGAATGTGATAAGCGTACATTATATTCTTGAGTTCTGAGTTAACTATGTAAACAGATAATACGAAGATAATCGGTTTGCTATGTAAAAAGAAAATACAAAATAGAAGGTAGCAATAGAGGTGTTTTTAAAAATGATTATAAATGTGGATTTTTTTCCCTTGTGGTATAGCTGGGAACCTCTCCACTTCATCTGGCAGCACAGTATGGGCATTATTCCACCACAGAAGTTCTACTCCGAGCTGGTGTAAGTAGGGATGCAAGAACCAAAGTGGACCGAACGCCATTACATATGGCAGCTTCAGAGGGCCATGCCAGCATAGTAGAGGTTTTGCTTAAGGTATGTGTTCTTTTTTTGCATTCTGCTTTTGAAAGTAAACCCCAAAGGATTTATGGTTTTATAGGAGGGAGAAGGGAACTAGTTTTATTGAACGTCTGTTTTTTTTTTCTTCCCCCTGTGTTGTCTCATTGTTTTGTGTGTAAGCCCATCAAATGAAAATAATCTTTAAAGTTTTTCCTTTGTGGGAGAAAAAGAACAACTTCTAGATATGTTCTTAGTTAAGTCAGACAGTTGATTTCTTAGACCTTGGTCTCCGCTATGGTAAGAGACTATGGCTTTGTCTTACCTGACATAGTTAAAATGCTTATGGAGGGAAACATGAAGCTTGGATCATTAACAAATTAATAACACAAGTAAGGATTTTTATTCTAGCCTTTAGATCAGCCTATCCAAAAGACATGCAAGGTAAGCCACAAATGTGAATCACATGTAATTCTAGATTTTCTATTAGCTGCATTAAAAAAAAATAAAAACTAACTTTAATATTATATTTTATTTAACTTCATATATATAAAATATTGTCATTTCATCATGAAATCAATATAAAAGTTATTTTATTAATGAATTATCTTCTATCCTTTTTTTGGTGTTAAGTCTTTGAATGCCAGTGTGTGTTTACATATACAGTATACATCTCTGTTGGGACTAGCCATATTTCAAGTGCCTGATAGTCACATGTGTCCAGTGGCTACTATATTGTACAGTGCATCTCTGATAGCTCCCTTTTGTTTATTTATATTGTACTTGTTTTGAAAGCAAAGGATATTTTTGTATAAACAAGGAACTAGAATTACAGAGGTTTCTGAGGAATGTTCATAGTTTTCCTTCGCTTTTTTTTTTTTTTTTTTGGTGAGAGAGAGTGTGTGCAAGTAGGGGTAGGGGCAGAGGGGGAGAGAGAAAGAATCTCAAGCAGGCTTCACACTCAGCACAGAGCCTGGTGCATGGCTTGATCTTAGGACCTTGATATCATGACTTGAGCTGAGGGCAAGGGTCGGATGCCTAACCAGTGGGCCACTAAGATGCCTCAGTCTTTTTTCACTTCATATGCCATTCTGTCCCATGATGCTCATAGCTTGATGACTGAAGAAATCATTGCTGCACTCCTAAGAAATTAGAAGGAAAATAATTAGGAAAGTTAGCATGATAGAAACTGATTAGGTCACATGTGCGGAGATTTGTGGAACAGATTATTCAACACAAAAAAATAGAGAGCTGATCATGTTGGTAGCAGATTCTTTAAAGCATAATGGCTAGTATTTGCATATTAGGAATTCTTTATATTTCAAATTTTAGAAATGTCTTATTTTGCAATATTTTTATAGCATGGTGCTGATGTTAATGCTAAGGATATGCTGAAGATGACAGCTCTACATTGGGCCACAGAACATAATCATCAAGAAGTGGTGGAACTTTTAATCAAATATGGTGCTGATGTACACACACAAAGTAAATTTTGTAAAACTGCATTTGATATTTCAATAGACAATGGGAATGAAGATTTGGCAGAGATACTACAGGTAACTTTTGGCTTTTAATTTGAGAAAATAAAAGGATCTCTGTCTTGTGGATGATTTGAGCTACTTAGCTCAAATTTAGCTTTTCATTTTGGACTTGTTTATTTTAGACAGGCTTTTTCCTCTTTCACTTTCTCTTTTGTTTGTTACTGTTCATTATTCTGATTGTAAGACCATAGTCTTACATATAACATTAGAAGATTAGATAAGGTGATTACTTTCTGTATTTTTAAGTTCCTGAATTCCCCTTCCAGACATCTTATTCTATTATTTTTGTTGCATTTTTGGATACAATACAGTTTTTCAAAGTCTGTTAAACTTCCACTAAAATTTTTCTCTAGCAGCTATAACAGCATCCCCTGAGTGAGGGATACAGTCTCAATCACTCTGATTGGTTTACTTTTTGTCATCCTCAAAAAAATCTGTTTGGAAGCAGTTATTTATGGCTTTTGGGCTATTTTATTTTATTGTACTTACTTGAGAGTGAGTGAGTGAGCATGAGTGAGGGGGAGGGGCAGAGGGAGAAGTAGGCTCTCTGCTGAGCAGGCAGTCCAATGCAAGGCTTGATCCCAGGACTGCAGGATCATGACCTGAACTGAAGGCAGATGCTTAACTGACTGAGTTATTCAGGTGCTCCAGTTATTAATTTTTTTTTTTAAGATTTATTCATTTGAGCGGGGAGGGACAGATGGAGAGGGAGAGAGAGTCTTAAGCAGAATCTGCACTGAGCAGAGAGCCCCACACAGGCCTTGACCTCACGACCCTGAGATGACCTGTGCCAAAGCCAAGAGTCAGATGCTTAACTGACTCTGCCACCTAGGCACCCCTGGGCAAATTTTTCTAATAACCAGTACAGCTTTCTTTTCTTCAGCTACACAACATTGATATAAATTATCTTCTTTACTCACTGCTTCTTGCCTATCTTTTGTTCTCCTTCTCAGTAGAACTCTTCCTTAAGATCATCTGACTCTACTGAATTTCAGCTAGTTACTTAAAAGATTTTTGTGATGCCTTTTGCAATTCTTTTACTCCTAGGAGTGTAATTTGGGGGTCAGGGTTGAAGATGGAGAACAATTAATTGGGAAGGACATGCTTTATATGTATAATGATACATATTGGTGAATATAGTAGAGGTTATATTTAAGTAATTTGATTTCTTTTTATTTTATTATTTTTTATTTTTATTTCTTTTTCTTTTTCTTTTTAGTAATTTGATTTCTTAAATCAAAATATAGGGCACAAGGCAGCAAAATATCTTTCAACTGTGTTCTGTAAAAGCCTTCCAGGTATCCAATTCTCTTCTCATGGAATTTTGCTGCTTTATCTAGTAGGAGAATTAGGATGTAATTTCCTATCTGTGATTTACCACAGCTCTCTCAGTAGACCTTATTCAAAGGTTTCCATTTGTACTATATGATTCTTCTGAAGTTTTAGAATTTCCTTTATGTTTATGTTTGCACTACATTGAGAATCTGTGCTATATGTTCCTGATGTAGTTCTCTAAACATTGTGTTGATTTGTGCCCTAGATTGCTATGCAGAATCAAATCAACACAAACCCAGAGAGTCCGGACACTGTGACGATACATGCCGCCACACCACAGTTCATCATTGGACCTGGAGGGGTGGTGAACCTAACAGGTCTGGTATCTTCAGAAAATTCATCCAAGGCAACAGGTATTGAGATGCATATAGGATAGCTGTTGGGACTTTATGCTTTAGTAGGTGTTCCTCCTTTTAAGAAAGGACTGTTGGAGAATGAGGGTAAGATTATATCCGTCCCCTTGGTTTTCTTTGGTTTTGGTAAAAACCGATTTTTATGAGACACAAGGATTTAAAGAAAGGTGATATTGCAAAATATGCTGCAATATTATCTTTCAAAAACTAATCCAAGCTTGTTTTTCATAAAACAATTATCCAACTTCATTTAAGAGTTGAATAAAGTAAAATAGAATATCAGAAAAATGCATTAGATTAAGCTCCTTTAAAGTTTAAAACCATCTTCTCTTTTCTCATAGATGAAACAGGTGTATCTGCTGTTCAATTTGGAAACTCCTCTACATCAGTATTAGCTACATTAGCTGCCTTAGCTGAAGCATCTGCTCCGCTGTCCAATTCTTCAGAAACTCCAGGTTAGAGAAACAAGTCAAATGTGCACATTAAAAGTTGGAGACTCAAATCTTTACAGAGGCTAGGAAGGTAATATAAACGGCTTAAGTGAGCAGATTTGAGATGATGGCCATCTGAAGACAGGGGGCCGGGCATCTGCTATCTAGCTCTAGCTGGTTATAGTCCTATGCACAGTGTTGCCAGATTACGTTTTTCACTGGAAGCTGAGAATCTGGATTTTAAAAGAATATTTAATCTTGTCAACTAATTAAAATTTGATTAAAATTAAAAACTTGTGTGGTTCACAGAAAAACCTGTCTCTGTATCCAGTTGGCCTTTGTTTTTACTAGTCTGTGACTCTTTGTATAAAGTAGATAAGTGTACATATATGGACTTGCTGTCTTTTTCATAATTTTTAATTTTTGTCAGTTGTATTAGAATGACACAGAATCTTACTGACAGAACTAGGAAGTAGCATGCCAGCACCACCATTAAAGGATAACCTGATGGTGAACTATGATAAACAGTAATAGCTAGTTTAGACCAGGGTTTACTTTTAGACGTAAGCAAAATAGTTCTTGCTATAATTATTAAATAAGTAAATGTTTTTTTAATTAGGGAATTTAAAAAATTTCACAAAATTATTCTTCTCACTAGCTTAGGCCATTATTGGATCAGTGCTCATAAAAGAATACTTTGTTATCATTCAGTATTTAAATTTGTGTTTTTTTTTCAAATTGTGACCCATAACAACAGTAATGACAACAGGTCATTGAGTGCTTACTCGTGTGCTGTGCCCTATGGTAAATGTATTACTTATGATCTCACTGAATCCTCACCAAAAAGCTTGAAGATACCTGTTACTGGATTTGACTGTTTAAGGTGCCCGTGACTGAAACACGTTTTTTTCAGGGGGAAGACTATACCTATTTCACTTACTCTCTCTCTCTTCCCTTTACTAACTAGCAATAATAAACATTTATCTATTCTCCAGCTTCTTTAGCATTATAATCAATGTTTGAATCTAAGCCTTTATACATATATAATGTATATATGTATGCCTTTATATATAAAATATATATATATATATATTTTAAAGATTTTATTTATTTATTCATGAGAGACACAGAGAGAAAGGCAGAGACATAGGCAGAGAGAAGCAGGCTTCCTCCAGAAAGCCTGATGCGGAACTCAGTCCCAGGACCCCGGAATCACAACCTGAGCCAAAGGCAGATACTCCACCACTGGGCCATCCAGACATCCCTAAGTCTTTCTATTTGAGAGTTGCCAGATTTTTTAGAATTACTTTTGGCTATTAGCAGTTATGTGCATCATTATATTGGATGTGCTGCTTTTATAACCTGTGCCTGGGTCTCTTTAGCATCTTTGTCATTGCATAAGCATAGCAAAGAAAATGAATTTCATTGGTGGTTTCTATTTGATTAATTTTTTTTTTGTCTTTAATGCAAGTATATATTTCTGAAAATTAAGCAAATTTTCTTGAAGGTCAGCTGAAATTTTGACATTTAGATGTTTGGCTCTGTGAATTAGTCATACCAACTTCTCTAACTTTTACTTTTGAAAATGTTATATATGGTCTAGTCTGAGAGATTGGGAATTTCAGTTGACTCTTATCACGTGTGATTTACAGTCTTTTGTGAGTGCAGTAATTTTTCATTTCAATGCTATGTCATAGTGGAATCTTTTTGGAGCTTGAATTAAGTTAAAGTTCAGGTGAGTACATTGCCACCAGTGTAAATAACTTAGCTGAGTTGTGTAATCAGATAAAGAAATAGCTTCTCATGGCTCAATTTCCACATGCTCAGGCTAATTATTGCTCTGCTTCATGGCTGTTCAGTTTCTTTTTCTTTTTTTTTTTTAAAGATTTTATTTATTTATTCATGGGAGACAGACAGAGAGAGAGAGAGAGGCAGAGATATAGGCAGAGTGAGAAGCAGGCTCCATGCAGGGAGCCCGGTGTGGGACTCAATCCCGGGACTCCAGGATCACACCCTGAGCCGAAGGCAGATGTTCAACCACTGAGCCACCCAGGCATCCCTACTGTTCAGTTTCTTTTAACATTAGTTGTCAGGCTCATTCTGAGTTTAGAAAATGTGTATATTTTTTCAAGGACATCCTAGTTAGGATCTGGGAAATAAAATAGTACTCTCATTTTATATATGATGAAGCTGAGATTTATGAGGTTAAATAATTTTACTCAAAGTAGCATGGCCAGTAAGTGGTGAAAGGAGTTTTCTGCTCAAGGTCTGATTGATTCCCAAGCTGTGTGACTGTGACCACTATAATATACTGCAGTTTCTTGGTGATCAGTGGACTGATCTCTTCCACAATGTTTATCATTTGGTTTGTGATAGGAATAACTATTTGTGTAATTATCATTTTGTCCTGTATCAAACAAAAGCACCGCTATTCTTGCCCTTACTCCTGAGGTGTGTCTGTTGAAGCAGTCTGTTGAAACAAATGTTTTGTTCCTATGTCTTCCTTTAATGGATAGGATATAGGGATTTAGGTAGATGAGAACTCATTCCAGTTCATTCCATTTTCAAAGTTATACAAGATGAAGATAAAGAAAAGTAAACACATTTTCTTTGGGAGTTTGCAGCTGTCTTTTTCCTCATAAGGAGAACCACCACTGTGTAGTACAGTCTTTACTAATGAGCAGAGGCAGTTACCGTTATCCTGTTTTTCTACTAAAGCTTACAGGCCACCCTGTTACAAGTAATTTTCTCTTTGAAAAATCAAAACTCCAGACAATGCATACTTTACTCCCTTTTTTGCTTTAAAACTAAAGATGTACAAACAGTAAAAATTCATGGAGGGTTAAATCATGTTTTGTGTTAAAGGAATAACTCAGAACTGTTCTTGTTCTAAAATTTCCACTTACTGTTTATAAACAGCTATTCATTTATAATGAGAAAATTATTATTTATTCATTCATTGAACAGATTTTTGTTGAACATCTCTTATGACCTGGTTACTCTGCTTGGTGCTAGAGAGAAAAATGGTAAACAATCAGATACAATCCCAGCTCTTGTGGAACATGTAGTCTTTTGGTAAAACGAGATGTTACTCACCTGGGTGAGTAACTGTGATTAGTGCTACCTGTACAGAGGCAGGATTTTCACCTAGTCTGGTGGGTCAGAGAATCTTCCTAGAGGAAGAAACAATTTAATTAAAGATGAAGTAGGAATTAGTAGAACAAACATTGGGGGAAGAACATTTGAAGAAGAGGGACATATGGAAATCTTTTGAGGTCAGGAAGAGCTTGTCCTTTCAGGGCACTTCAGAGGCCAGTATGGTGTTGCCCATGAAAAAGTTAACTCATGGTGGTTGAAGGTAAGATTATGAAGGACTTTGAAAATGATTACTTTGAGAGGCTCTGAAAGGGAGTTCAGTTAGTCTAATGCAGTCAACTCAGAAGGAGATGGTGGGAGCATGGATTAGGATTTGGCAAAGAGATAAGAAGTGAATAAATTTGAGGATCATTTGGGATATAGAATTGGAAGTTATAATTGATTAGATATAGGCCATACATCTGTAGTGTAGTTTGATCCTTTTTAAGTAAACTCTTTAATAAAACAATATTTTTTGGAGCAACCCTGTTGGGACCCCTCTCACTTCTGAGAGCTTTCTCTCTATCTTTACTTAATAAAGTTCTGTTCCTTTTCTCACTCTCCTGTGTCCGCGAGATTCATTCTTCGACTCCGTGAGACAAGAACCAAGCTCTCCCATATCAGAGGGGAAAGATAACCTGGTTTGACAATAGCAAGGCTCCGGTATCCTGTGAGTCTTCTTCAGCATATGAAAGTCCTTTTGGAACTTCCCTTCCTTTTACTATCCCCAACCCCAAAGTGTATAATCAATCAGTTGCTCCTCACAATTCTGGGTCAACAGCTCTTTCTACTCATGGGTCCTATCCTCCTGCTTTGTTAAAACCACCATTTTACACCAAACAACAACAACAACATTTTTTGGCTGTAGCCTGAAGTCTTATATTTATTTTGCTTTGCTTAACCTTATTCTTTTTTATGGCTCAGCTATATAATCGCTTGATTAAATAGACATCTGTGACCACTCTTCTTTTTAACTTTAGAGCAACTTCTCTTAATTAGGTGTTTTTCCAGAGGAGTAAGGCATCTGGTGGTGGTTTCCCTCCTTTCTTCTAATAGTGAAATTTGAATTACACATTAGGTCCCCTCTACACATTGCTTTTCTGCTCTTCCTAAGCTAGATCAGTAAAAGTGAATTGACTTTAAGGGAGAAGTTACTGGGCTTCATAAGATTGTCTTGGTTTTACTTTTTTGTTTTTAATTTCAAGTACAGTTGTGGGCCCAATATCTTTGAAATGTTTTCAGTGAACACAGTTTCTAGTATTGAAACATTTATATGTACACTTTTCAATCCTCAAATCATTTTAAAGATAGTTTTTTCCTCTGTATTATTTGAATTTTATGGCATTATAAAAAACAATAATCTCTTGTTGAACAGAGATTTCAGGTATTCTCAACAACCCTGTAGCTATATGGGCTCTCTTTATATATTACAATCTAACTTTTGATTTTGATCAATGAATATTACACTTATTTTTTTATCCAGGGGTTTTACAGTTAGGTGTGTGTGTGTGTGTGTGTGTGTGTGTGTGTGTGTGTGTGTGTTTTAAATAACACTCTTTTTAAAGTTTTTAGGTTTTTTACTATGTATTTCAACATTTCACTGTTGGGCTGTTCTTAGGGTTTCTGGGGGACACTGTCTTCTTACATAATTGGTTTCCTTATAATTTTTTCTCAAATTCCTTACCATAGCACAACTTAAAAAGAAAACTTTTTAGATGAAAGGGAGGAACTCTATTATTTTAATGATAGTCATTGGGAATAGTGCAAAGATGAAAGTTCTTGAGTTACGGCTTGATTGTGTGTGATCTCAGAAGTGCCTTACATATGATTATGCTTTAAAGTACTACTTGTAGTTAGCATTCAACCAGAGTGAACACTTCTTTTTCATATGGATATTTTTAAGAAAAATCAAAGCAATGGTTCATGTGTTTGAAAACCTTAGTAGTTCTGTTGAATTTATTACTATTTTATGCCCTACATTTCATTTTATAATCATCTTCCTGAAATTTTCATAAGTGCTTGGTGATAAAGCCTAATTATAGTTTAAGAGAAACAAAAATGAGAGAACTCAAAACATAAAGGTTTTTTTTTTGAATTTTTAATATTCTCTTTTGTAGTTTGTACTGTGACCCTTGATTACCACATAACAGAATCACAGGGTTGCAGCCAGGTCTGTTACCATACCTTGAGTACATCTTTGAGAACTAGGGTCTCAGTACTTTTATAACAAAGGAGTTCATTGATACCTACGATGTTCTACTGGGTGTTGGTACCAATTTAGCATGTTTCAGAGCCCCTGTGCTGGTAGGAAACATGACTCAGGAGAGAATGTTTTTTTAATTGCACTTTTGTAAAGTTTTGCCTCAAATAATCCATGGGAAAAAATAAAAACCATATCATTTGGAAATAGTTTTTTATGTAATTTCTTTTTTTCAGAATTATATTGAATTATTTTTTATAATTTATAATTATTTTTCAGAATTATATATATTGTTATATTAAAACATTTTTTTTAGAATGACAGTTTTCAAGCCCATAGAAAAAAATGGAGGATAAACTTTATACCTTTTACTTGTACTCTTATACAGCTGTTAAAATCTTGCCACACCTGCATGTACACACACAGACATGCACGCACTTTTATTATGCCTGAAATGAGCTGCAGATACCATGACATCTCATCCTTAAATACTTCAGCATGTATCTCCCAAGAACAAGGACAGCCTGTTACATATTCTTAGCTCCATTGTATTTCCTAAAAACATAAACATTAATTTAGTAACAGTATCTGACATGTGGTCCACATTCAAGTTTCCTCAGTTATCCCCAGAATATCCTTTATAAGTGTTTGTTTTTCATCCAGGATCCGAAGTTCAGACATTGTATTTGGTTGTGTCTTTTTTAGTTTCCCCCAGCTTAGGGTAGCCCTACCACTGCTTAGCTTGTTATTTCTTACATTGAAATTTATGTGAAGTTTGTGCCCATTGCATGCACAGTCATTTCATTCTGGATTCATTTGTTTCATAATAATTAGATGCAGGCCACACATTTCCAGGAAGAACACAAGTGATATTTTGTAGTGTCCCATTGCATCACATCAGCAGGTATATGTCAGGCCATCCTGATAATGACCACTTTGTGAGAGTGGTCATTGCTAGGTCTTTATAGGCACCTTTACCCCTTAGTAATCTTTGCTGTGATACTTTGAAAATATATGAATATCTTGTTTCTTGAAACATTTCAGTGGTTTTAACATCCACTGGTGACCTTTGCTTGAATCAATTATTACATTGGAGGTTACAGTGATAATTTTCCTTATTTTGGTAATTAGATGTCATTCTTCTATCAAGAAGATATTTCCTCCTTCCCCTTTTCTCTCCTTTTTCACTAAGTATTATTATGGACAAATGGATTTTTGAAGATTCATTGTGTTATAATCCATTATTGTCATTATTCCTTTTGCTGCTTCTTTATTGAAGTGTAATAAGCATACAGAAAAGTGCATAGATCATCATTGTATAGTGTAATAAATTATCTCAGAGTGGTTACTCTTGTATAATCACTGCTTAGTTTATAAATGGGAAGAAGGCAATATATATTTTGTATCTGATTTATATCAGTGAGCATGGTTTTTGTCAGATTTATCTATGTTTTGCATTTAGTCGTTTTAATTGCTGGGTAGTATTCCATTGTATTAATCTACCAGAGTCTGTTTATCCTTCTTCTTTTGATGGATATCCGGTGGTTTCAAGTTTCTTATTATCATGAGTGTAGCTGCTGGGAATGTTCCTGTCCATAGGTCTTTTGGGATCAGTATTGCCTATGGATTGCACAGGATTGCTTGTGGGAAAGGATTTTGGCAGTATTAAATTGTGATTTCTTTACCCAGGTGAATCAGGGGTGCCGTTTTCAGCTGTCAGAATCCTCTCTGGGCCTCTTACAAGATATTAACATTCTTTGGATTTTATTTATATGAATTTTAATATATTATTCACTCTCATTAAGTACTTGACCTCTGTGCCACTTGCTATCAAGGCAACCCCTTTCTCACATAATCCAAAAAGGGAATACTGTTTATTCTGTTTACTTGAAAAATACAGATTTTCGTGTTTCATTGAACATGGAAATGCATTCAACTCATATAAATATAACTGGCAAATAACTCATGTAAATATAAATGGAGTACAACCACATACAAAATTCTCTTTTGGATTATAAAATTTTATTAAGCAGGTATAACCTGTGTTATATCTATGACCTTAGGAGATCATATAAATTTTGTACCTCATATAAACAATATAAATATTGTTTATTTAAATATATGCATGTGTAGTTAAATATACACCTGTGTAGTCACAACTCAGTTATTTAAAAATTGTGGGACTTGTAGTCCATTATCTATATAGATATATACAGCACCATGGAAGAGTGGATTTAATAAAAACCATGTAAAAGCTTTTCTGTGTCAGAACAAAACAGGGAAAGCAAAAGTAGCAAAGCAAAAATGAACTAGTCATATTTATTTTTATGTATGTTCACTGATTTTTACTTTTTTTTTTTTTCCAGTAGTGGCTACGGAGGAGGTAGTTACTGCAGAGTCTGTCGATGGTGCCATTCAACAAGTAGTTAGTTCAGGTGGTCAGCAAGTCATCACAATAGTCACAGATGGAATTCAGCTTGGAAATTTGCACTCCATTCCAACCAGTGGAATAGGTCAGCCCATCATTGTGACCATGCCAGATGGACAACAAGGTTGGTAGTAGGCATGTGCATGAAGTTTGAATTTATTCTAAGTGCTCGGCATTTATTTTTGCCTTAGATTTTGTTTTTGTAATCTTTTGAAATAGATTTCATTGACTAATTTTATTTGCTTGTGTTAGTATTGAAATTAGCTTGTTTTCTCTGAGTTTATCTAGGTGGAAAGAGGAATTGGCTCCCAAGTATTCTGGTTGGAAAATAAGCTTAAGTAAATAATTCAGAATCCACTTTGGACAGTAATTCCTTATGCCATTTATTGCAGTTCAGATATCATACAGTCTTTTAAAAATACCATATAAGAGTTGCGCGCGGCCCGACAGCTCCTCATGGCGGCGGCGGCTCCTTGGGCGCGGCGTGGTGGTTACTGAGCTGCGAGTCTGGCGGGTGTGCGCCGAGTCCCGGCCCGGCCTCTGCGTGCCCCCCCGCCCCGGGCTTCGCACCCTTGATGCTGCGCGGGTGCTGAACCCGCCCCGGCCGGGACGATGGTGAAGTATTTCCTGGGCTAGAGCGTGCTCCGGAGTTCCTGGGACCAAGTGTTCGCTGCCTTCTGGCAGCGTTACCCGAATCCCTATAGCAAACATGTCTTGACGGAAGACATAGTGCACCAGGGGTCATAGGTGACCCCTGACCAGAAACTCCTGTCCCGGCATCTCCTGACCAAGACCAACAGGATGCCTCGCTGGGCGGAGCGACTCTTTCCTGCCAATGTTGCTCACTCGGTGTACATCCTGGAGGATTCTATTGTGGACCCACAGAACCAGACCAGGACCACCTTCACCTGGAACATCAACCACGCCCGGCTGATGGTGGTGGAGGAACGATGTGTTTACTGTGTGAACTCTGATAACAGTGGCTGGACCGAAATCCGCCGGGAAGCCTGGGTCTCCTCTAGCTTATTTGGTGTCTCCAGAGCTGTCCAGGAATTTGGTCTTGCCCGGTTCAAAAGCAACGTGACCAAGACAATGAAGGGCTTTGAATACATCTTGGCCAAGCTGCAAGGTGAGGCCCCTTCCAAAACCCTTGTTGAGACAGCCAAGGAAGCCAAGGAGAAGGCAAAGGAGACGGCACTGGCAGCTACAGAGAAGGCCAAGGACCTTGCCAGCAAGGCCACCACCAAGCAGCAGCAGCAGCAGCAGCAGCACTTTGTGTAGCTAGCCCAGGCCCTGGTGCGGTAGGACACCTGACCACCCGGCCCAATTCTCTCTGCCTTTTTCCCCTTGTACTTTATTATTAAAAGTCCACTTCCAAGAAAATAAATAAATAAATAAAAAATAAAAATAAAAATACCACATAAGAAAAGGCTCCTTACAAAGAAGTTGGACTTAGGACTTACAGTAGGAATGTGGTAGCTACTTTTAGCAGCTTTGTTGGTAATTTTCTCATTTTTTCCCTCTTGGAAACTACTGAGAGTAGAAGATAGATTAAACAAAAGCCCCAGCTACATTCTCAGTGACCGTAAAAGGCTGAGGAAACCATAAAATTCCCTATTTTAGGTGCTGCCGAAAACATCTAAGACCATTAGAGCCAGGGCAAGAGAACCCTCATGAAAACTCAACAGTGGTGCATCAAGAAAAGAGAAGAGATTGAGCTCAAAGATTAGCAATAAATACACAGCAAGACAGGGCCCACTCTGCATTGGAGTACTATCAGTAGGTCTGAGGTAGGGTTAGGGCATGGATGCTTGAGGAAGAAGGAGAAGGTGCAGAAAATTCCAATCTGAGCTAGCATTGCTTTGTACCCAGTGCCCCCCTCCAACACACAAAATGTGTATGCACACCTAAAACCTTTTAGAAAATGATTAGGATTACAGAGACTGTGCACCTTTATGGCCAGTGAAGGAATTGGGAAAGGGAAGGGCTAGAGCTAGAAGTTCTCCTAAACCAGGTTTGGCTTAGAGTGACAGAGGAGTTATGGCTCTATAGAGCGGCCAGGTCTCAGGAAAAAGTTGCTTTAGCAGAAGAAGAGGAACCCCTTACCTGTGAAAACTGGGAAGCCATACTCTTCTGTTTTGCAGAAATCTGCTGATGGCTCATCCAAGATTTGGATCAGGCCCAGATGCTTTCACAAAGCTTCAAAGAAATAATTCTTTTTTTTTTTTTCCCCCCAAAGAACTAATTATATAGAAATAAGAAAACTTGCAGTTTATATCAAGCATATAATGTTTCTAAAAACTGACATTATACAGACTAATCTCATCCCATGAACAAATGGAAAGAAATGCCATGTTTTTGGATGAGAGGATTCACTATCATAAAGCTCTCCATTCTTCCTGAGTTAATTTATAAATGTAACATGCCATGAAAAAAAAAAGTCTATTTTAGTTTGCTAGGGCTGCCACAACAAAATACCACAGACTGAACGACTACAGAAATTTATCTTCTCACAGTGCTGGAGTTTTGAAGTCCAAGATCAAGGTGTTGGCAAGTTTGGTTTCTTCTGAGGCCTTTGTCCTTGGCTTGTGGATGGCTGCCTCCTCGCTGTATCCTTGTGTGGTCGTCCCTCAGTCAGCTAGTGTTGTCTGTGTCTTAATCTCTGCTTCTCAAAAGCACACCAGTCTTAACTGGGTTAGGGCTCACTCACTTGACCTTATTCTACCTTATTTACCTCATTAAAGGCCCGATATCCAAATACAGTCATGTTGTGGTATTGGGGGTTAGGACTTAAGTCTTGAGTTTCGAGGACACAGTTCAACCCATAACAGAGACAAACAAGGTTTTTCCTGGAACTAGTCAAATTGATCCTGAAGTTTGTATTAATGGGAGGAGAAGGGAAGAAGAATAAGGAAACTTAATGAGAGGCGCTTACTAAATATTAAAGTAAACTTCTGAAGGCTCCATAATTCAAAAATGCATAACTGACATGTGAATGAATATATACAGTCTCTGCAGGCAGTCCAATGAAGCAGATGTCAGGTTCTCAATTCTTCTTGCATTAATTTAGAAGTATAATGTAAAGTTACATTTAAGTTAAAAGTTAAAAAAAACACTTTAATTCTCAATATCAGTAATGTTTTAAATTACAGTGTACTAAATAGTTTACTTTTTTCCATTTCTGTATACATTGATAAATGACAGAGTTTTTAATATGTTGACAAAAAACTTTAAAGACTGTAACACAATTGTAACTTTCCCCATGGATATTTATTTATTTATTTATTTATTTATTTATTTATTTATTTATTTATTTATTTTTAAAGATTTTATTTATTTATTCATGATAGACAGAGAGAGAGAGGCAGAGACACAGGCAGAGGGAGAAGCAGGCTCCATGCCGGGAGCCTGACGCAGGACTTGATCCCTGGACTCCAGGATCGCGCCCTGGGCCAAAGGCAGGCGCTAAACCACTGAGCCACCCAAGGATGCCCTCCCCATGGATTATTATAATTGCTTTGCAGTTCCAGCTCTCACAGTCATCTCTGTGGTCCCCCACTGCCTGCTGCAGAGCAAGGACAGCCTCTCTCTCTCTATGTATATATATATTTACATCTGTATAAAGAAATACTAAAACTTAGGGACAAAGTCCGACAACCGAAAAGAAAAACAAGCAACACTTATAAACCGACAACATTCATAATACTGTATCCACACAGTGGAATATTATGAAGCTAAGGAAAAGCAGGCTCTGTATGTACCGATGAAAGATACCCTAGATACATGGATTGAAGAAAGCAGAGGCACAGCAGTGTCTCTATTGTTTGTATGAATGTTGCCTTTTGTAGAAGACAGAAAAACGAGAATGTATATTCATGTTTGTTTTTATATAAATTAACACAAGAACAATAACAAGAAACCAATAAAAGTGACTCCATCATGCTTATTGGTTTGATTTTTAGCTGTATGATGAATAGATTATCTGTAGAATTTTTAAAAAAATAAATAGGGGCTTTAAACAAATAGTGTTCATTTTTAATGAAGACAAATACGGACATGCTCATAAAGCAAATTAATGCTTTGAAACTATTGGGACATGTTTCTTTTAGATGAGTTACATCAACAATGTCACAACTAGTTTTATTTCTACTAAACTTATCTGAAAATGAAGTAATGTATACATTTTTTTATTTTAGTATTAACAGTACCAGCAACGGACATTGCTGAAGAAACTGTTATAAGTGAAGAACCACCAGCTAAGAGACAATGTATCGAAATAATTGAAAACCGGGTGGAATCTGCAGAAATAGAAGTAAGGAGTCTTTTACCCGGTGTGTTTTGCTGCAGTCATCCAAAATAAATTCACTTTGCTTTTCTATATATATTTTTGGTCTTTTATATTTATTACTTACTGACAGTGCTGTTTTGATACAGAATGAAAGTACATAGTATTATTTTGTCTAATTATTTGCTTATACATATAGCAAGCCCTCAATAAATAAATATTGAATGAATGAATGAATGAGTGAAGAATTTGTTTATAACAAAGTCTGTCATTGTGATAACATTGTAATGAATTTGGTTCTTGCACTCCATCCTTTATTTTCTGTTTAATTTACATGTATCATTCTCACAAGTCACTAAAGGAAATGTCACAGTGTATTGACAAAAAACATTCTTTTCTTTCAAAAGTCAAATGCAAAACGCCTATGTGGGCTGGAGGATCCTTTTAAAAAGGTTGATGTTTGTTGACTAGGTTATTTTTTAAAAAGCCATAAATAACTACTTATTTCACTGTTAAATTCTTTAATAAGGAATTTGAGACTAGCAGTTGATAGGATTCAGCTTTTTCCTCCCTCTACCCAAACTAGTTTGGAAGTGGAACCAAACTATAGTGCCTCACAGGTTTTTTTCTTACATGACTGTAACATGACTGTAAATAAAACTGTTACCTGAATTTGATATTCACTCATATAAGTAAAAATAAATTTATTCTGGAATAACTTTGAAAGATCAATTGCAGTGTAAAGAACCCTGGACTTGAATGAGCTGGATTCAAATTCCACCTTTTGCCTCTATTGGCTTTGAGGCAAGTTATCTTACCTTTCTGAATATCATTTTTATTTTCTCTCAGATTGGAGTTTTTGGATAACAATATCTGCATTTTGGAGATTTTATTAGAATTTTAAAAGTCAGCATACTCATTATGCACATATTCCAAATATCTGATATATGTAACCAGTAAATGTTGCTGAATATCTTAAATAGTAATATTAGTGAACATCTAAGAATTCTTATGTGTCTTGTTTTATAGAAAAGAGGATTTTTTTTAAAAAGTCACTAAAAAGCAACATAATTCTGATTGAGGACAGCTAGAATATATTTTTGCTCCAGTTCATTTAAATGTAATACTGGCACATCTTTAAGCCAATCACAAAGAATATATTATTGAGTTTAGCAAGAATCCAATTCATGGCTTAACCAGAGTGGTAAAAAGTATGACTTTAATTATTGAGGATAAGTTGTTTTCTTTCTTCAAAATTTAAAATGATATTCAGTACACAGAAGTTCTTATATTCCATTGAACAGTATCAACATAATTATTATTTAGTAATTTTTTAAAAAAGATTTTATTGATTTATTAGAGAGAGAGAGCACACAAGCAGTGGAGAGGAACAGAGGGAGAAGGAGAAGCAGACTCCCTGCAGAACAGGGAGCCTGCTGCAGGGCTCGGTCCCAGGACCCTGGGATCATGACCTGAGCTGAAGAAAGACACTTAACCAACAGAGCCACCCAAGTGCCCTTTAGTAATCTTTTAAGTGTTTGTTTGTTTGTTTGTTTGTTTTTTGGTGTCAGATGATCTTTTCTGGTGCATAAAGTGAAAAGTTTGTCATGTACTTTGCTTTAACTATTTTTTTTTGCTTTATTAAATAAAACATTTTTAAATTATTTGAATTCTTATTAAACATAAACTTACTAAATTCAACAAATCATATATTTCAAACAATGATTGTGCAGCCTGTACTTTGTTTACCTAATAACCTGTAAGAGTTGCTGTTTTCCTCAAAGTTCAACCTGATTCCCCTCTTAGTCTTTCAGAGACCAGGGAGAATTATTGCAGGTAACAGGAAGGTATGAATTGAGGTATACAAATTAACTAGAATCAAGGATAGAACTTCAGGGAGATGGAGTCTTAGCTTGTTTTAAAGAAGTGGGGTTTTCTGTTTTAAAAATTAGAGCTTTCGGGTAATGGAAATCTTATTCTCCATTACGGAAAATGTTCAAGCCAAAGTTGTGTGATCTCTCTAGAGCTTTTACAGAGAGACCCTTGAAGCATGCAGTAAATATAGATGGTGTAGGTGGGCTGGGGATATAGAATGAAGAGAGGCCTCCCATGTTTTCATCAAACCAGATAATCCTTTCCTTATAATAAATATGTGGAGTGGCTCTTCTGAACTTATTTTCATAGATGACCAGTGGAGTTGTCTTGGACTCCCAAGACTTTTATATTTCTAAGTGACAGTGTAACCATTAACTAAAAAAGTTTTCTCATGGGCAGTGGTTCTCAACTGGGGCACTTTTGACCCCAGGGGACATTTGGCATTGTCTGGAGACATTTTGGGTTGTCACAACTAGAGGCGTGCCACTGACCTCCAGGGGATAGAAGCTGGACATACTGCTAAACATCCTACAATGGACAGGACAGCCCCCACAGTAAAGAATTATCTGTTCCAAAAATATCCAAAATTGAGACTGAGGAACTCTGCTCTACAGGAATTAAAAAATTAACTCATTATACAGAATCTAACATGTGTGAGTTTTCTCTGTATGTTTGCGTCCGCAACTACCAAAGTGTGTTTATAATTGTTAAGATTTTATATTTACAATTTCCTAACTGACATGGAGAGGTTTATTAGTCTCTACAAAATTGGTTTAAAATGTAGAAAATGTATTATAAATGCTGAAGCTTTTATATCTGCATTATAGCAATATAACAAATAAAATAGATTTGTTTTTTGAAGGGGAGGTATGATTAAGACACCTAATTGCAATAATGTATATCACCCCCTTGATATTACTGCATTAAAGATATTTTTGGAAGAAGTGTGCTATGTATGGAATCAATGAATTCTTTTGTAATGTGGGAGGAAGGAAATATAAGTGCTAGGAGTAACATTTTTTTCTGTTTAGTTGTATGAATTCAGAAAATACCATTGCTTTTTCTTTGCGAGGGGAGTTAGAGATGAATGTTTGTTAGCAAGTTTATTTTTAATGAAATACTGGTGTCTTCTAACCAGTGCTAGACTGAGAATCCTTAGTGTTCTTTTAAAAATTGTTTTCTGTAAATTTTTCATAATGTTTTATTTGATGCAATTTTTTTCAGTCTGTTTTTCTTTTGATACTCTTTTGATCTACCAAAGTGTAAAATTTTCTATAGTCCTACCGTCTTTTTTTTTTTAAAGATAATTATTCACTTATTTGAGAAAGACAGTGAGTGAGAGAGAACACAAGAGGGAGGAGGGGCAGAAGGAGAAGCAGACTCCTTGCTGAGCAGGGAGCCCAACGTGGGGCTCCATCCCAGGACCGCAGGATCATGACCCGAGCCGAAGGCAGATGCCTAACCAACTGAGCCACCCAGGCGCCCCAGTTTCTCTCTTTTTAAACAAATATTTAATGGTTAAGACTACGGGTATATTTTATAATTTTCTAATTGTGTTATCTTGATCAGGTTATTTAACCTTTTATAAAAAGGCTTGGTTTCCCCATCAGTAACAGGGAAGAAATAACAGCACCTACTTTATCAGATTGTTGTAAAGTTAAATAAGAACGGATGTAAAGGACTAGTATAATCATGGGCATATATAAGTGCTCATTAAGGGTTGCTATTATTATTATTTTCCAAAATTTATATTGAAGTATGGTAGAAGATAACCACTATAATGAGTTTTTGCCTTATAATAGGTAAGGTAAAAATAAATTTGAATATTAGAAAATTAAAAATGATAACACTGTTTCAAGAGAATTGCTGCTAGCTGAAGCCAAATTCAAGAATTTTGTTTGAAAATAAAAAAGCAAACTCGAGTCTTCCCTTGCCCTTTTATTCCATTGCTTGGGTTTGGAATTGTAGTGTAAGATAAATATCTTCTCTATTGTGACCAAATTGTGATTATCATCAAAATTTACTTTTTTGGAATTCTTCAGTGTTAAAGGAAAAATACATTAGTATTACATATTAGTAAATGAAGTTATGTTTATTTACAAATGTCAAAGTCCTTTCTACTGTGCTTTTATTGCAAACGGTCAAAGCTATAGGATTGGCATTTCTATTTAAATATAAATCTCAAGTGTCAGTCTGTGCACTATTCATGTATGAAACAACCAAATTACTGTTTATGTTAAGGAAATGTCTTGCATATGGTATATGTTCAGTAAACATTTTAACAAATAAATTTGTAAACAAAGGATCTCTGAGTAAAATAAGTGATATTTTCCACTTTTTAGAGATTTTGATTTTTTTTTGAAAATCAGATGGCAAGAAGATTCTCTCCCCAAACACCTATATTCTTGAGAAGTAAAAAATGTAAACATTAAAAAAACCTTTAGTAATGTTAACTATGCCTTCAATCTTGAGGATTAAATGTACTCAAGGAGTAGTGCTTAAGGACTTTTATCTTTCAGATTACAGATACAGTCAAGAAATGCAGTGTAACCTGAATCTTTTATTTGGCCTAGTATGCAGAAGGGAACTGTCTTTTCATTTATATGAAGATATATTCTAATTGAAATAAAAATATGCAATAAGGAAAACAAACTGTATTTCCTGTTAGATTACCTCAGTTTGCTTTCATCTTCTGAGTAATTGTGAATCCCTTGCTGTTTCTAAATGTTAATGAATAGCTAGTATGAAGAGATATCTTAGAGAATGTGTTCCAATATTTCTTACCAAATTCAAAACTTTCCTTACCAAAAAATCTTATTTCTTAACACATGTAAAATTTTAAAACACTTATGCATGGGCATGAGTACTCCAGAGGTGGCAATCTAGCTCCTGGAGAAGCAGCACCCCTCTCCTACCCTTTCCATTGGTGTGCTCAAAGTCCTCCATAGTTCACTGCCAAGGTAGTGGTGTTGATTGTTTACCTGAGGCTTGACTCCTGGGTGTCCTTTCTGACTCGTTCCTACTCGGCCATCTTGCCTGGAGTAAGGGTAAGAAGTGGGTAAAAAATGGGTAGGTAGCAGGGTAAGATGTGGGCATTTCTTAAATTGGAGATGAAGGATGCATACGTTTCTTGTACATTTTATGTAAATGGAAGACTTGGAGACTACCTGTGTAATCAGTCATCCCCACATTTGGTGGATCCAGGGGAAAAATATATGTTGGATTTAGCTTTATTCCCAATATGGGGAAGGGAACAGGATCAAAGAAGGAAGGAGTATTATATTTGCTCCTCCTTGGAGACCATGTGAATAGTGAAAGGGAGGGAATCTTTTGGTGTTCACAATGGACGAGTTGAGGAAGCAGTGGAAGAGACCTCCTTACTGTCCTCTTTCCCAGTACGCCCCTCACCTTCAGTTTCCTCTGGTCAAGTGTCTTGTCCAGTGTGAATCTGGCATCTCTTAGGGTCAATAATGGTCCCACCGTGAGTCCCCCGCCCATCCCACTAAGAGGTCCCAGGCCTTTTAATGAGGTTGAGCTTAGGCCTGTGCAGGTTGAGCTTTTGTCCATGTACTAGAGATGTGAGAAAGGAGTCTTTGAAATTTTTTCCCTTAGGCAACTGAATGAATAGGGGCAGAGTGAGGAGGAGAAAAGGGTGTCATTTTTATTGGACTAGATTTGTGTTTAGCTCCTACTTTATTGAGGAATTTAATACATATATTTTATATTTGTATAATTTAATGAATCACAGTAGAGAAATTAGTATTTTATTGGTTTGTAAAATAGGATAATTTAGAAAACACTAATCTAGACCAACACTCTTCTTTTTAGAAATGAGGAATCCTGCTTGTTACCATAGGGGAAGATAGTATTAAAAGCAGTAGTATTACAATCTCATAAACCCAATTGTGTTACCATGGAAAAGCTATGTCATCTGGAAGCATTGTTTTCCTCATCTGTAAAATGGGCATCATCACTGTCTTAGAGGCTTGTTATTGGAAATCACCTTATTTACTCACATGATGAGTACTCAATAAGTGTTAACTGTTTTATAATTTTTTATACCTGTACATCAAAACGTCACAGAGATGTGAAGAGGTAATAATTCTCTTTTAAAGCTCTTCACTAGTCTTTATCATATACATATAAAAGCACAAGTCCACAATCTGGGTTCGTTATGTTAATCTTATTTTTAATTAGGGAATGATTCCTTGAGGTCAGAAACTAATCTATGTCATACCGTGGAGCACAAAATTTGGAGCTTTAATTATCAGTGAATTGGTAGGGCAAGATGTCTCGCAAATATCAATAGGTGGCTACATCTAGCTCCTACAGATTTTTCTGCTTGAAGGATGCATGCTTGTATGTGTTAATCATGTATTCATGCAAAAATTGAAAAAACCTTTTTTTTTAATTAGGAGAGAGAAGCTCTTCAGAAACAGCTGGATGAAGCAAATCGAGAAGCACAAAAATACCGACAGCAGCTTCTAAAGAAAGAGCAGGAAGCAGAGGCCTACAGACAAAAATTAGAAGCTATGACTCGTCTTCAGACTAATAAAGAAGCTGTGTAGTTGAAATGAACACATAATTTGAATTTACTTTTGGTTAAGAAAGAACACAGTCTTGAACTGTACACAGCAAGGTGCAGTCGCCGGAAGCCAGGATAACAGAAGAGACTACAGATCGATGATCGGACTTAAGCCATGAGCTCTGAATTCTTGTAACATAAAACTTTACTTTAGAAGTTGTGAAATGTATTTAAAACTGAATTCTGTAAATAGTTTTTGTTTTTTTTACAGTTCCAAATGAGTTATAAAGATTGTTGAAGAGATCCAAAAACACAATAAGCCACTGTTTTTGTGAATTCTTTTTGATTTTAGTATGAACCTTAATTTCTCAGACACAGAACAGTTTTAAGGGTGATCGTTGTTGATTAGACCAAACGTTATGTAATAATTATGTGGTGGACTGATGCTGGAATTACTCCTGTAGGTATAAACTTCTATATGAAGAGAAGATTTCTCCCAGGAAATCTTTGTACAGCTTTAAGTTGTCTCAGATTCTCTGAAAACATTTTTTAGAAAGCAAATTTTTATATTTGTTCAATTTCAGCTATACCCAAGTAGATTTACATGTATATGAAGCAAATATTTTTTAAAATTTCTGTTTGTACATATTCTGCATGTTTTATAATTTCAAAATGCATCACTTGCATAGGTATTTTTCCCACAAAGATGATGAAAGTTAACTAGGGGGAAAAATCCTTTTATTCGGTAGGTCATTGAAAGTTAAGTAAGCTAGCAGCTGGTTTTATTGGAATGACAATGTTCTTAGAAGGAGCAGCTTACAAGATAACTTGAATTTGCAAACTGCAAAATCTATTCTTTTTTGAAAATTTCATAGTGGGGATGTGAAACTGTATTCTGTGCCTTCCATCATGATTTCCACATGAAAGCACTTTAAGGCACTGAATTTTAAGATAATGTTTTTGGAATACTCAGAGTATATGGGTTTCTGAAATATTTCATGGACTCATTTCCCCCAGGAAATTATTCTTATGGAAAAAAATGCTTTTGTATGTAGAACAAGAACTTTTTGTACTACGGTGATGCTATAGATATGTCTAACATAACTTTTACTTTTCCCTGTGAAAGCTGTATGTCTGTGCTGTGACTTGCTCTCATCACAATATTGTTGAATTCCACATTAATGTATGGACATTAAACTCTGACATACTGTTCATTCTTTTTTTGTAAAACAGAACTTCAAACTCTTTTTTTCTTGCTTTGTTTTTTAATGTCTTTTTGCTTTATGAAAATGTTTAACCCTAAGACCCTTCTAGATTACCCATCTGTATAAAGAAGCAATTACCCTTAAAACTGTACTCTGGCCTACTTTTCTATTTTACAATTAAATATCTTTTCCACATATGTTCAGTGTAGACTTATATTTTGACCACACATTAAAAATGTTGTTCTGCATATACAGCCATATCCCACCAGAATGAAAATATATGTTCCTCACACTGTGTCTTAAAAATCCTTGAGGTAATTTCTTGGGAATCTGCTAGCTCTTTCACTGGCATTATTATAGTTGTTAAGGTGATAAAAGGATCTGTGAATTTAGAAAGGTTTGAGAACAAATATTAGAATTCTAAAAGGGAGAGAAAAAGACCTTTTCAGGTTTTCACTAAATTTGACATATATTTTAAATGATCTAAAGCTAGGCCATATTTTCAGTAACATGAAGCTACTTTTTCTATGTTTTTTATTGCTTTAGTGCATTTATGAATTTTTTAGGCAGAGTGCCTTTGACATATGCAGTTTTGGAGTGAAGGACCAATATGCTTACCCCAGAGTGCAAGCCACTTTAGACTTTGCTTCCTGGCCAGATTAGCCCCCAAAGAGCCCTGAGACAGTGTTGGAAATGAACCCCTGAAAGCTAAATTAATTCATTCTTTGACTCCTAGTATCCTGTTGTGCTAGAGACTTTACCTGGTTACAAGAAGGAATTTTGATTTATAGTAACATTTGACATAGATGGGAACAAATAGTTGGTACTTAAAAGGTGTAAGTCTATAATCGCATCAGGTAAATACTCAGATGTCTTTGGGAGTTCACTTTTTTCAGATTGTTATTGTTGGACTTGGATAATTCTCAGTCATCTATACCTGATTCAGTGTGCCGCAAAATCAATAGTTAGACAAGAATCTAAAACAAATTTAAAATGTTTTTTTTTCTTTTTAGCTTCTATTTTTAGGTGGGCTGGAAAAGCTTTGCATTCTTATTCTCAATGGTGTTTTGAGCAGAAGATTAAAGGAACTGACCAAATAAAATAAAAGTTTTTGAAATCCGTACTTCATGTGTTTCCCCTACCTGATGATGGTTTTATAGTTAAATATCATTTGGTTATCACATTGATGGTTCATTCTTTCTACTGTTGTGTGAACAAACACCTTTTAGAGCAGCCTTACTCAACTAGGGTTCTGGGAGGGAATCAAGCCCTAATCCCCTAAATTTAAGGCCTAAAAAATATCTTGTAATGAATTCACATTTTTCCTGTGCATCTAGAATAGACATATACTTTCTAGACACTGAACTCGTTAGATGTCTTGATTGCCTAATTACTTGGTTCAGATTTAACACTTCCCTGTGTACAGTCACTAGAACTCTAGGATTACAAGTTCGGAGCTGGATCTGTGATGCTTTCAGAATGCTTTAGCTGGGACTGTGCTTCTCAACTAATTTTCATTTATTGTTATTTATTTTATTTATATCCTGATTACTTCCCCAAGGGCTTGTGATGTCATTTGTCTTTATTGGCTTTTAGGAATAATTTTCTTACATCAATCTTTCATGATATGAATGGCAGACTAGTACTCTGTTCTTTCACTCTGACACTATTTCTTTATGGTGATGGAGGGCTGAGAGTTGGGAGCTTTCCTCTGTGACATTTAAGAGAACAAAGTTCAATGAAGGAGGGAATAAGTGTGAAATCCCATGTTATTTTTGCATAATGACAAAAAGATTTGTATATAAATATTTTTATTCAAAACATTGCTAATGAAGATCTATGCAGTATATTTTTCAACATGATTATTTATGATGTTATTTATTGAAAATTAGAAGAAACCCTTGCCTATAACAAAAATTGATGAGTTGATAGACCTATCGATGGGCGCTTTGTGCTGATATGACTGTTTTTTTCTGTTTTACCCTATATGTAACTTCTTCCTGATAAAATCAGGAAGGAAGGAAAGGAAGTTGCCTTTGTGCTTTAATACCTGGAAGACCTTGAGAACTGACTCAAAATATATCAAGAAGAAAAACCTTTTCAGATAATATTACAAAACAATTGAAGGAACCTTTGTGGATGAGTTCCATATGGAACCCATATGGATGGGTTCCCAAGGCATTAGCGCTCAGGCTTATATAGCAAATAGAAAAAAAAATATTTTCTATTCACCTAGCTTCTATTGAATAAATAACTCCTCCAGCATGTCAGATCAACTTAGGAATGAACTAACTAATAAATTTGTTATTTTATTAAGTAATATTTACTGTACTTGTATTTCATTATAGATAGCTAGTCAGTTGTAGTTTTGAATGATGTTTGCTATTTGCTTTCTCTGTGTTAAATGAGAACATCTCAATGCACATGGATTCAGTTTGACGTAAGTAAGTTTCCTGAAATCATTCTCAGATTACTCTGTGGAACCTATGATGGAAAACATAGTATTACCACTGGAAATATGCTTCTGGTTCCAAATAAAAATTTTTATATCAATATTTTTGTGACTTGTTAAAACAATTTTCCAAATATAGAGATATACAGAGAGAGGGTCTTAATAGTTTTTGATCATTTTGATACCCTGAGTACCTTTAAAAGTATTTCAACTTAATGATAATCGAATATTGAATATAGTTTGGATATATTTCCTGAGGGGTCTTCATTTTTATTATTTTTAAAAGATTTATTTATTAGAGAGCACATGAGCAGGGGGAGGGGATGAAGGAAGAGAGGGGGAGAATCTCAAGCAGACTGTTGAGTGCAGAGCCCCACATGGGGCTAGATTCCTGGATGCTGAGATCCTGACCTGAGCTGAAACTGAGAGTTGCTTAATTAACTGAAACACTCAGGTGCCCCTTCATTTTTAGATAAATATTGTAACTTCCAAAAAGCTATGATTTTTCTTCCTGAAAAAATTTTGATGTGGTCTCTGCAATTCTGTGTACTGTGTTTATTAGTTGCCTACTTAGTTTTACATTTAAATAGCTTAGATCTCATGTGCACAGTTGATACGTAATATGTTTTCTAGATTAAACGTCTGACTTTTTTAAAGATTTATTTATTTATTTATTCATGATAGATACAGAGAGACAGAGAGAGAGAGGCAGAGACGTAGGAGGAGGGAGAAGCAGGCTCCACGCCGGGAGCCCGACACGGGACTCGATCCTGGGACTCCAGGATTGTGCCCTGGGCCAAAGGCAGGCGCTAAACCACTGAGCCACCCAGGGATCCCAAAATGTCTGACTTTTCTTAAAATAATTTTTTATATATATTTTGTGTGTCAGATAAATAAGTAAAGCATTCATTTTTGTATTACCATTTTTCATAATTACTCTAGATTTGCTATTATAATTCAGGACTTACTCAAGTTTAAATTACATTCACTTATTTTGCTATTGAAAAACAGTATATATTAAGAAAGGTTATATTTAAGTGAGCCTAGTCTCTTTTAAAAAAAAAAAATTGTTGGTCTGCCAGAGAACTGACTCTACTTCCAAATATTTCTTCCGTATCATAGAGAATTTTTGGTACCAAACACTGAAGTGTATTATTAAGTGTGCTTACCACCTTGGTTAGGTACACTTCAGTATTCGTTAATTTTGTTGTTTGTTGGCTTAACGAAAACTCTAAAATATGTAGAAGGGCACAGAACAATATAGCAAACTTCAGGTGTCTACTACCCAGGTTTAATCTTAAGTTTTATCTTGTTTGCTTCACGTCTTCAGATACAGGATGTTCTAGATATAGTTGAAGTCCCTTTGTTCCCCTTCCTCATCCCATTCTCCTCCCTCCCACCAAAAGACAGCCACTATCCTGAGGTCAAGATGTCTCAGTCTATCCACATTTTCATGCTTTTACTACACACCGAATTTTTAAAGCATATAGTAGAGTTTTGTGTGTTTTTTAAACTTTAGTAAAGCTCTCATTCTATACATATGTCATTCTGCATTTTTATTTTTTCAATTCATCAGAATTTTAGACATTTATTCATATTGATACTTAAATACTCATTTTGACTATTATATAAAATTAAATAAGAACATACCATAATTGATTTATTCTTTCTTCTATGTATAGATATGTCACTTCTAATTTTTTGCTATTATAAATAGTACTCTCTGTACTATATGCATACATGTGCTAAGTTTCCCCAGAAAATGGAGTTTTTACGTCTAGGGCAGTCAGTTTTACCAAATACTGTAAAATTCTAAAGTGGCTGTGATGGGGTGCCTGGGTGCCTCAGTCAGTTGAGCATCTCTCTTTGGCTCAGGTCATGATCCCAGGGTCCTGGGATGGAGCCTCACACCGGGCTCCCTAATTCAGGGGAGCCTGCTTCTCCCTCTCCCTGCTCTTGCCCTCTCTTGCTATCTTTCTCTCTCTCAAATAAATAAAAAAAAAAAGAAAGAAAGAAAAGAAAAGTGGCTGTGAATAGTGAAGAGTGATGAGAATTCTCATTTTCCTGTATCTCACCCACACCTGATACTGTCACACTTTAATATTTTTGGCAAACCTCCTTGGTATGAAATTGTTTTCATTATATGCAAGCTCCTATTACCAGTAAGGCTGAACATTTTTAAACCTGGTGTTTCTTGTCCATGAATGTTTATTCTTCTGTGAATTGTCAGTTCATGGCTGATTTTTTTTTTAAAGTAGGCTCCACATGCAGCATGGAGCCCAGTGAGGGGCTTGAACTCATGACCTTGAGATTAAGACCTGAGCAGAGATGAAGAGTTGGGCACTTGCCCAACTGTGCCACACTGGTGCCCCCCGTGGCTGATTTTGTAATTGGATAGTTTTTATTATTGCTTTGTTGAAGTTTAATATTTTTCTGGAAACTGATTTTTTTAAAGATTTTATTTATGTATTCGAGGCAAGGAGGAGTGAGGGAGGAGAGAGAGAATCTTAAGCAGACTCCTTGCTCAGTGGGGAGCCCCATACAAGGCTTGATCTCATGACCCTGGGATCATGACCTGAGCCAACAAATCAAGCATCTGATGCTTAACTGACTAAGCCACCCAGACACCCTGGGAAACTGATCTTTTGCTGGCTGTATGAGTTGTGAATATCTTCCACCAGTATCTTTTTTTTTTTAATTTGTATATATAGTCTTGATTAGTACATATTTACTGGATGTCTCTTA